TCAACAAGTGTAGCAATAAAATTTTCTATGACAATATCAGCTAAAACACAAAAACCCGTAGCGTAGAACTTACCTATCCCTTATTATCGGATAATAGATTCAGTTGGAAGTTATGTACTCCGTTATTTAAAAAAAAACATATTTAAATAATTTGAAAATCTTTTTATGTGTGTATGTACAATGTGTACAATAGTTAATTTGATAAAGTAATATAAGTTTGTTATTAAATGACGTTAACATGTATACAATACAGTTTAAATGGGTTAAAATAAATTTGTATTAATTCGAATTGAAAATTCCATTCAACAGTAATTGCTTTAATAGATGTTTAACTTTATTCAAAAGCACGGATTAGACGTGACCTAGTTACCATTTTACCAACCCATCACAAAACTTCACTCGCAATCATCACATGTGACAGGCTAGCGGACATTCTCATTTTGTCATCTATGAATATTCACACAATTGCATAGGGGTCGGCATAGTGCAGCCCACGAATTGCAATAAATAACATAGCAGTGATATCCAAGTGGACGAGTGTGGTTCTAAAGTACCTATGTCGTATCCCACTGTATTCCAATGGATTTTACTTATTACATTTAATGTTCGTCATAAAAACTTGCGGGAATCAAAACATCGCTTTAGAACGCTTATTCACATTGTTTTCCTGCAACAAACTTGTTAACATATTATTACAATCAAATAAGTACACCCTTAGCCAGAAGGCTAACACTGATATTGACTATATGTAGTCCGATAGACCCGAACAAATATAATTCAATTATAAATCACACAAAAAAAGTGTGTTTAATTAGAAACACACACACAAAACAATTATATGTATAAAGATGTAACATATAATATTTTTTATAGAATATTACTTTTGAGTAGAGTAGAGACAATCGTAGTAAAAAAAAACTTCAAGCATTGCATCTACAATGGGGTTTAAATGGGTTAAAATAAATTGTATTAATTCGAATTGAAAATTCTATGCAACAGTAATTGCTTTAATTCCAGTCCCCCAACTTAACCTACACCTATGAACTTTTGAACCTTACTTTCTAATTTCTATACAACGCACGATTGGGAAAGTCAGATCAATTACACTTACCACTCTATATATTCTAGTATCTGTCCATGACTTCGCTTTGAACGAACCTTTACCTACGGTATAACAATTATTTCCAGTGATTTTTAGCGATTTTCAGATTTCCAATCACATTCTTTAACGAATAATCGATTTCACTTTTTCTTTTGATCTGATTTAAAAAAATTAATCAGTGGCGCTACAATCTCTTTAGGTTTTGGCCTCAGATTTCTGAATCTGTTTCATGATCATTTTTAAATCTCATAGGCAAGTAGGTGATCAGCCTCCAGTGCCTGACATACGGCGTCGACTTTTTGGATCTAAGACATGTCGGTTTCCTCACGATGTTTTCCTTCACCGTTCGAGCAAATGTTTAATCTGATTTAGATTTGAATAAAGCAAAAAAATAATACCGTACTTACGCGATAATATTCGTGACCTAATACGTGCTATAAACAAAAAATAAATATTTCCATGTAAAAGTAACAAACCAAGTTTCATCTGTAAAGTAGAATTCAGAAATTATTAGTAAAGTTTATTAAAAAATATAACTTTTCCTAAAAGTTCGAGATAACGGTAGACCGACTGCGGAGCCATAATTTTTTTAATAACAATTCAAGTTCTTCAAGCTTCCAACTTGAAATTACGTACATTTATTGATTTCTTAATCAGAACCAGTACAAAACAGGTCCAATTGTAACATATATAGTGTACTCATTAATTTGCATAACCATTATTTATCGACAATCAAAGTAATTAATTTTGCAATTGCTATTTAATCAATGTTTCTGTTTCCTGATAAGAAGCCATAGAACATTTGTAAACCGATTTTTTTACTTGATTTAACTTGCTTTAACCAACCGTTTTCTATCAGTCGAAAACCCAGTTGTTCTGTGTTTGCGGCTACAAACTATTCGGTAATAACTACCGAATGAAATGTGTACGATACTTAAATAGACAGTGAGGAAGGTTTAGGAGTATGTACAATAGTTTAATGTAAATTGATTGATATGTAACGTCTATATTTAAGGAGGTCGCTAAAAAATTGCCAAAATACACGAAATGCGGCCGAAACTTCCGTCCCGTCTCGTCTAGTATAAAATATGGGCTAAGACAGCTGTAGCGTTTTTGTTGCTGGGCTTACCATTGTTTACATGGAAATATCGTAACCATAGTAACAAAAAATATCTTTAGTCCATATTAATAGGGCCGTTGTATTTTGGAATGGCATAGAAGACGGACTTGTGAATGATCAGTGTAGCAAACAGTATACGCTCCGTGCCCCATCGGAGTCCTTACAAGTGTATACATTTCATTATATTCTTTCCGATTTCGATGTTTGTTTTTGTAAGAACATACGTCCAAAATAGTCCCATAAATAATTATAAGAGTCTCTCATTCCTAAGCGCCATTAGGGGTTGCTATATAGAAATGATTATATGTTGACCCACAAGAAACTCATTTAATCGGTCGTCTTGTAAATTCTTTATCAGGTTTAAATAAAAAAATAAAATTCTATTAGCACCGGGTAAATACAATGTAATAATTATATTTCTTTTGTAATATAATACAAGTCCGTAGCACATATCTTGGTTCCACAAACACGCAAGATTTGAGCAAACAATTTACTATTATTAAAACAAAAGACGACATCACATGTTTGATTCTCACTGGACGTATTATGTTAATAATGTGACGTATCGTGTCGCGTGTCAACGCGTTTTGAACTATATATGTTAATGCAATCTCGAATCGAGATCGTCTATTCGAGATCTCGGATAGTTTTCGAAAACACGATTAAAAAAATTATTTTTTGTAATAATTATTGTAACTCATATTTATTATAACTGTTCCTATTATTTATTTACACTACTTTTATAGTAAATAAAAAATATTTCCAGAATTACTTCTATCTACCTATACGATAATGCCCTCTCAGACTTAACACTGGTTGGCACCAGCTTGAGTAAGCTATTATAAGCGAATATAGCTTCATCTCTTTTTTATGAGTGACTCTTATCTATTTAATCACGCAGAAAGACGTGAAGAAGAAATGAGGTGCTCTCAGAGTCTCTTCTAATTAGTTTCGTCGCCTTTCAAATGACGATGTTCCAAGTCATCTTTATAATTACAGGAATTTTTAAATATAACAACGCTGCGTTTGCATTTATTCAACGCTGAGAGATACCCTTCTTTATCGAAGAGATTAACTTTTTCCATACTATTGTTCCCTAATCTCTTTCATGCAACGAGATCTCGTCATTACGCTTCGGGATTAATCTCGAAAAATGGCACGCGGTCTTGGGTTTGCATTCCCTAGTTGTTGACTAAACGGAATCAAACGCGCAAATTTTGTTTTACATTCTCGCTCCCAGGCTACTTTTTATCCAAAAAATGTGCGGTTCGCATATCATACTCATTATACATTGATAGAAACGTCTAATCCGACTCTTAGAGATAAATAAAGCGGTAATATTTCAGTGAGGAAATCATAAACACGAGTAAACAAACCGTAGATTTCTCACAAAACTTTCAGTGTTACTTCGATAATGTTGCGCGATAAATTGTGATTTAGAAACAAAGCTTTTTATACACGATTTCAGATAGTTCATAATACATTATTTCATGCCTAAGTACAGTTGCTGACATTATTTCGATCAAATTGAATGTAAAAAAAGTCGGTTTTATTACGCACCTTGTGTCACATTTATCAATGATATTAAAGCCATTATAAAATATATTACGTTAAATTTTTTGCGTTTGTTTGCCGATATATATGTTCCTCGGTTTGCAGTTTTGTAGCTTATCCACAGACACAGAGAGCCCACAATTATTTTCATAAAATTTAATATATGTAAAGGAACAATGTAGCCTATTTAATCCTAGTAAGTATATACTTGTATGATCATTTTCATTTTCGTCTAAAATTCACTAAAGGGCCCGTTTAGTAAATCACTGTATGAGAGATAAAAGACCCTCAAAATAGACTTACACGATTCAGGCCTACATCTTACATTTCTACTCCATTAAACAAGACATCTATCTCACATAACGACACCATAATGAACATTATACTTTAGTTTATGGTGTTATGTTAATAGTCTTAAGAGTCAAATAATACAGGCAAACACATCTTTTTTCATGGCGTACCCTTAATTTTAAAAGACTCACAATCTGATCGTGGGCTCGTCGTGTGGGAGTCAACAAAGAAATCTGCCTCCGTATTCTGTAAATATACAGCCTGCCTCCGTATTCACTTGGGAATTCACTTCTTTAGCTATTTCGCAGTCGTAAAATAATTTTATGAATTCCTAGAGATATTTTTGACTGTTGTCTCCATGTTTTACGATGCTCTAGGGCGAAAAATACTATTACTGTAATCTGTTGATATGAACCTAACCTTAAATACTATTTATTGAGTTATTAAAATCCAAACACACAACAAGATAATAATTCTATTTAAGTACCACAAAACATAATAGAGCAAAGCAATAGCTATCCACAATATCCTTTGTAGACGTCTAACCAATTGCATTTAGAACATAATCAAAGAAAAGCTTTAAGCTCTTTTTCGAAGCTTTAGTGCGTAACAGCGACAGTAAAGAGATTTATATTTGAATGCGCCGAGACGCGGTTTCTTCACGATTCTATCTCAAACGCTTATCCGACGTTATTATCAGACTCATAGATATGTCAAATGGCTCGATAAAGACTCTTTATTTGGTCTTCTCTTTCACGATGATCAAAAGTTTAACGTGGGCGGATAAAGTTACAGTTTACTGCAATAGTGATTTGTGAGCCTCTATGCCATTTAGTAAAGTGAGATTCCGGGGAGATGACTGAGAGGACATGAGCGTGTTAAAAAGGGTGCGGTGATGCAAGTGACGCGGGCGCATGATGCGCGCTCGGTTTGATGGAAGAGTCATGGTCGTCGGGCGGTGGGCCGCTGCTGCGTACGAGGTCTTTGCCTTTGGTGCTAGAGGCCAGCGGCGGTGTGCCCGCTCGCCAGACAAAGCTAGACCCTCGGCAGTTATTGACTCTCACCCGACATTACTACCCCGAGGGAGGCTGGGGCTGGGGGGTTGCTATAGCTGCGACAATAGCCCAGCTTCTTGCTCACGGCTTGCACCAGGCTTCTGCAGTGATCGCTGTAGAAGCTATCAAACGGTTCGGTCCGGAGGTGCAAATGCAAGCAGGTATGTGCAAAGTAACCAGAATCAACATATCAATCAGGGGCCATACCAAATGTTGTGAATTACTTTTCCTTATTAGTGTTGCTTGTAAGAGATCGCTTGAGAGCTATAGGCGGCCGTGTAGCCACCTAACAATGCCATAATTTTTTTACTAAGCAAATTGATTAAAAACTTAAATGCGTTTAGGCCTAAAATTATTTTTATTGTTAAAACAATTTTAAGTGCACAATAAAGTCAATTCACCTTCAATATTGGTAAAATATATTGTCAATATCTTAATACAGTAGCATATAATTATCTACTGGATTATTTACCGAGTAAATAAGTTCGATTACAGACAATTACATAATAATAATTTTAACAGAAAGGTTGAGTCAGCAATTAAACAACATTTATATGTCAACCCTTATACAGTTTCATTATAATGTTACTTTTAAATGACACGTGAAACCTTCAATACCGGATCACACGCTTATTGTTTTTAATAATAACAAACTTGTTTACAATAATTACGTTATTTTATTTATTTTTACTCATTTTTGAGTAGGCAAGGACTTCGTGTGTATTATGTTCGTGTTATTATTACTAAGCAGTATTGAGCCTCGGAAAGATAACATCAATAAAAGACGTAGCAATGAAACTTATATAAATATTTTAGGAAAAGTTTTTATGTTTGTTTATAGGAACTGCTTTACCTATAATAGGAAGCTAACTTATTTCTGAGTAAATGTGGTTAGTATTTGTGTTTCCCGTTTCCCGGCAATTGAACTTCGGGCATAAATTATAAGATTTCTATATTCATGGATACAATAAATTTTAAAAGACTAAATCGCTTTAATTAAAACTTCTACCTCATTTACCATGGAGAGTCCGAGGTGTTGTTCGGACTAGTACCCTGCGGCTGAGCTCAATCATATGACGTCACGGCAGAATACAAAATACCATCCGTATCACCTCGACGTCCGTCGTTCCACAACTGAGCGTTTCTTAAGACAGTTTTTGCCGCGCTCCACCACTATGTGGAACCAGGTTCCCACTGAAGTATTTCCGAAACAATTCTATTTAGAAAAGAGCGTCCAAATTCTTAAAAGGCACTCGCGAGTCTTCTGGTAATGTGAGTGTCCATGGACGGCGGTATCACTTAACATCACCGTTTGCTTCCTATTATATAAAAAAAACATTACCGTTTTAAATGAACCCCTTTTTACTTCAACTTTCCGTTTTAAGAATAGAATTGAGTGGTACTTTAAATTCGTCAATAATGTGCGCCTCCACAAGTTCTGGATTTGGAAGATTTCCAAGCCTTCGACAATACTTACTTAAAACCGTTCATATAGTGTCTGGATAGTTGTTGAAAGTTTCACCGATCCGATTTTCTCTAACGAAGTCTATGCTTTGCAAGATTGGTTTGCTATCAAGATAAAACAAGAGACGTATTTTAACTTAGAATACAAAGTGCTGATTGATCTTAAAGGTTTTTGTACAAAAGCGATAGTTTTATTTCTGAGCTTAAATTTTGTAGGAACAAAACTACATCATAAAACAAATTGTATTTCGATACTATAATTTATAAAGTGTATATAAATTATTACGTGTTTAAATAGACCCAAATTTCAATACATAAGATTCGGTCAAGAAAGTAAATATCCTTAACAATTGGAATAACTTTGTAGAGCATTTCACGGTATGTCGTCATCATAAATATTTAAAAATCTATTAATTTCTGGGTTAGTTTCCCGATGTTGTAATAATTCTAGTGGACTGACACGGAAGTTTGAGTTACAAACACTTCAATGACCATTTCTTTAGTCAAAATGAATAAAATAGGAAAATCATAAAATATATCAAGCCTAAAATCAACTCACTTGTATAGTAATATTGTTATGTACGAGTATACCATATTTGTCCTTGTAATAACTTTTATCATATTTCACTAAGTCACCACTTAAGTATAAACTTATTTATTCATCGGTTTAACCCTGTGGATATTTGATCTTTGTCAAACAACTTTATTTTGTTTAAGCGAGTAAATATACTCAATGTCTTCCATATGTTTTTTGTTTAACATTAATGTCCTACGATTAATGTAATCTAGTTAAATAATGTTGTGTAACTTGCATTAAATGTGAATTCAGTCTATCAGCCTTAGTGCACTATAGCTCCGAAAATAAATAATGATAAAAAGAATCTAACCGAAAATTCAACTCATACATAATATGTTGCAGCGAAACTGCGTTACACGAAACAAAGACTTGAGTTAATCAAGTTTTGGATAGAATTAAAACCTGAATTTAACTAAAGCCTGTTTACTTAAATCAAGTTTGAATCTATTTTATAATTAGATAGTGTTGTGGGGGCAGTTAAAGTTGATTGAAGGTTCTCGTACCGTACTACGAAAACTATAGAGTATAGGCTATAGCAGAGAAAGTTAAAGAGTTGCCAGATAATTGAAGATCACCAATAATTTGTACTTTATTGTCTGTGTATATAATTATTTACCTGTTAGCCAAAATATTGGTACCGAGAATTGAACTGGAAACTAAGTACTTAATGATTAGTGTGGCTTCACTCCTGATGTAACAATACTTTATACTGTATGTTCAGAAAATATTTTCTAGGTACATAAATAATTTATATTAGTAGGGTAGAACTGTGTTACAAAAATTACCATGTGTTTTAAGTTAAGTGAATATATTTGAACTTGGCAATCGACTCAAGTAACGCAAAGTAATTTTATTGCTACAAATCTGTCTAGTCTGGATGCTCGGTTTAAATATATTAGGGGACACGACACTCGTAAACCTAACAGTCAATAATACATTTACAATTGCCATAATTCGATTATATTTAATAGAAAACTTATGACTGAATAATTCAAATAAATGTGGCAAGAAGGTTGAAATAGTATTATTTACTTTGTGAAATTACCGTCTAATAAATAATCTCTTATAAAAAAAAAACATTTTACGTCTCGGCCACAGATTCCTGTATCTGTTTCGTCATTATCTCTTATAGTAGATACATTTTTATAATTATCTTGATCTAAAGAATGAGGCAACTCAGCTACCAAAAGTAGTGCTAGATGAGTGTTATTTATTTATTAAGGAAACTAAACAGATACATCACCATACAGAAAAATAAAATAAATGTAAAACATAAAATAAATAGACACATTGGACATATCCACAAAAGAAGTTTCACTAATAAAAAATACAATACAAAGTAAAACAAAGTAAAAGTAAGTAAGTTGTCGTATATTATGTTATTTCAGTTCGACTTAGGGTCCTTCAAGAAAAGAGCGTACCAATTCTTGAAAGGCCGGCACCGCACTTGCGAGCCTTCTGTCACTTTGAGTGTCCATGGGCGTCGGTATCACTTAATATCCTGCCTGCTATTTGGTTTTATGAACTTACCAAAATCTAAAAAAAATTAAACAAGGGTTTTTAATTTAATCTGAGTACCTACGGCTGTTAGTATTAATATTTTAAATTGCGTTGTCCATGTTTGTTTTTCTTTATCTAAATACCTGTAAACAGCAAAGGGAAAAGCTGTGAAAAGAACAAAGGATTATAACGTAAAAATACGCATGAAAAATTCTTCAATACAAATGTGTTATAAATTCCAAATCCGTTCTAAATATTATATTCTCGCTGCGTATAAATTGAATGATATCGTCTATCTGATAAACGGTTACATTAATCATCACCTTGCGTAAGACACGTAATGAATAATTTTATAGCTCACGCAATTTATGAACTTTCCCTTGATACATTTGATATTTTAAATCACGTGACGATTTTTCGCGAATATTTTCGCGAGTAGCATTAATTTTTGAATTACTTAGGGTTACCACTATAAATATGTTTATATAAGTATTCACCAACAAGTCACATATAACATACTCGTAGTAATAGTGATGCATAGATGCAAAGTTGCAACAAATGCATCGTTTTATTCGAATTAGCGAAGCTCTTGGACATCACGGGCAGTCTAGTAAAGCCCGCAAACATCGTTAGTCCAACTAAAAGGACACACGAATAGTTAGACTGTAACAAGTGTTATTGAGATCTTATCTTAAAATAGGTTAATAATTTATTTTAACTTGATTGTAGTGTCAAAATTTACACAGCAATTTATTCGTCCCAATAAAAAAAAATCTATTAATAGATATAAATGCATAATTTCCCTAAGACACCAAATTAGTTCCGCAATCCGAATAAGTTTACAAAGTAGTACAAATACAGGAGAGATATGGTTAAAATTAAATGAAACAGTTAAATCAATACTGTCATTTGGCAGTGGTATCTCGCTTTATTCCTCGAATGGCAGCATTAACTCAAGATAAGCTTTAGGTCACAACTTATACAGGAAGCTCTATGTTTATTTAATAGCTTGCATGGGACCTGAGTGCGATCCATTCATAACAATATATTTTGTTATCTACCAGAATGTAGCAAGTTAAAACCTTTTACGAAGATTTACATTTTTGAAACGACTTTATAGATATGTCATTTTCCTTTAATCATATAATGATATATAAGTGATATCCTTTCTCTTCCTTTCTCTGAGACAGTAATCTTCGAGACTTAGGTCTAAGTACGCAATTTAAACATTGCTATTTATTTTTTTGTAAGTTCCATAAAATTATACATGAAAATATGACATCACAAATAATTTTGCACACATACACATCAATTATATTAGAACATAGGTAAGCTAGCAAGGGAAAAAATGAAACGATTAAACAAGCAACCACAAAATTAAAATATTGAAAGGAAAATTTTGCAAGCAAGTTAGTATGAGTATTAAGTTAAATATTTTATACAAATAAAGTAGATCAATGAAGTCACGTCGGATTTTTAGAGTATCTAACTTGAAACAGTCCAAACGAGCCTCGTACGTTTGCAATACACCACGCAAGTGTAGATTGCAAAGCTTTCTAAAGAAACGTTTTTGAACTGTTTCAATGGTATTTATGTTCGTTTTGAAATGACCAGATAACAGTACCATATTCTAAAATACTACGGGCAAGTATTTTGTAAAGAGTTGAACGTTTGTAAAGGATGCATTTTATAAGCCTTATTGGCAACTGTTTGCATGTGCTCAATCAAATTCAGTTTTATTATTATTAATTTAATTGTAA